TCATATGATTCGTTTTTCAGTGACTAAAGGAATTAATGTAAGCAAAGAAATCGCGCATTATATTTGACAGCATACAATGTTACAGTTTCTTGGGAGAAATAGAGAGATATTACAGAAACAGAGTACTACATTTGACACTACACATTTCTTGCTTAGAGAAAAACAGCAAATGTAAATCATCGTCAGAAAGCGATCTGAAAAGGACTGTCTGGTGTGATGAACAGGCACTATACTGTATTGGGTGGGAACAAAAGAAGACTGCTTTGTTGGTGACCGACAGTCAACTACCATGCAAAGAATGTTTAGTGGACAGTTTCAAAATAGATGTTGCACGTACATAGCGGACACGAAAGGTGTAAACCGGCAGCAGATTGGTCAGGGCAGGAACACCTTGGTACCAAAGGCTCTACAAGTGGAAGCCAGGCAATTTTGGCAATCTTCGAAATTATCTAGAGTTGCTGCAATACGGCCAGTCTGTTACCAGATCGTTTGCTTAACAGACAATCATTGGCGACGCGTACCAGGCGGGTCCGTGCGAACATGCGTTTCTGCAGTATTTCGTGCTGTAATGAGGTCGCTCGGAAACCTAGTAACTAGGATTTGTGAAATACTGGTCCTAGAAGTTCGGGAAGTTAATTCTCTACGTAGTACATGGACAGGGAGCATTCCGTTAAAATTTCGGCTTTCCAATTTCTCTGGTTCTTGAGTTAGCAATTCTCCTGCCAAAAAATTTCATGGGTCCGTACATGAGAACTACATGTATCTGGGAGCTGAATTTGATATCTTTAACTTTTACGAGGAGCTAGGAACATACCCTTAAAATTTCAGCTCCCAGCTTTCCTATTTCTCGACTTAGCCATCTTTGCGCCAAGAAATTTTACGGGCCCGTACGTGAGAACCACGCACGTACGGAGGCTGAACCTGATAAATTTTTATTGTATATGCGCTGGGAACATTCTCTGAAAATATCAGCCACTCAGCTTTACCGGTTCCCGAATTAACCATTTTCCCGTCAAAAATTCCCATGGGGCGTACATGAGAACCACGCACGCCGAGGGGCTGAATTTGATAATTTTAAGTGGTACATATGCTGGAAATATTCCCTCCCAGCTTTCTATTTACCAATTTAGCGATTCTCGCGCCAAGGACCTTCACGAGGCCATTACGCGGATACCACGCGCCCCTGGGACTGAATTTGAAATCTTTAAGTTAACACCAAAAATTTCAGCTTTCTAGCGGGGAACATAACATCAAAATTTCAGCTTTCTACCTTTTTTTGGTTCTCGAGTCTGCGATTTTCCCGCCAAAACTTTCACCCTCTTGTACGCGAGGCCTGGGTATGCGTGAGGGTTGGTACCGCCGCCCTGGGATGGCACTTGGCCGGGGAAGCCAGTGGCAAAATTTTGACGCCGGAGCTTGCTTGGGTGCAGAATTGGAATATCCGGACAGACACACACATACGCACATACATACATACATACATACATACACACACACACACACACGAGGTCATCACAACATGCGTTTTTGCATATGCATATAAGCAAAAACGCGTTAAAAAGAGGATGGGCTGACGATGTCCAGCCAGCTTATCTAGAAAATGAAGCAGCCAATATATCAAAAAATTTTGCTTTTGCCGTACCGCTGAGATATAGTCATTTCTTGTTTTTTGTTTCTGCACAAATGTTTTTATCTGAAAGGCTTCCAAAGCAGTTGAGGCAGTGAGATTTTCAGTCGACTTAGTCTAAGCAATGCGCAGCACTTACCTGTACAGTTCGATTGCAGTCAATTCCTAGACTTTGCATCAATTTCAGGATCTGATGCTGTGGCTCACTTGCGTCATAATGCATTACAAACGTTTGAGTGTCGTTCCACTTTTTTAGTTCACACTCCAACCAACGATGCTTTTTGACTTGCTCGATTGTTGCCCGTTTCTTTGGATCCAGTGTGAGCATTCGCCG